TTTCATTCTTCTTATTCACCTTGCCATATAGTTAATGTATGTATTTTGTTGAATATAAGGCCTCGCTCACAAGCTTAGCCTCTACAGCGGTCCCAAAACCGTTCATTTTATGATGTAATCAAGGTAATATATGTTGATTAATGTACTATTACCAGTCTCTTTTTCATGTTAACGATTATATCTAGTTTGTGTGGTTTTGAATAAAATGAACTTGAAGCAGTGATCAACAGCAGACGAGCTTTCCTGAGATACAACGATAGTGTGTGAGTGTGTGTGTGCCATCCACTGCCTCCGCTATGAGCAATGAGGGCGGCAGACCTGAAAGATAATAAGCAACAATTGTGCAAATATCACTGTATTACTATGAAATTCATACAAATATAAATAACCATCCCTTAGTCGACCATGTCGTTTTCCCACTCTCCCTCTCAATATCTGTAACACTTTAAACACTCGCTGTATTAATACTGCGCCATTAGCTGCTAAATTTCATGAATATTTTGTATTTCTGAATTTTGTACTTCAAATAATTTTGTCTTTTAAGAAGGCCTTTTGAATGCATCAAAGGCAACGGCTATGCTGCATATATCATGAGTGGAATGGTTGTCTTTTAATTATATGGCCTTGTTTTTTAATTGGTATAAGTATTTTTTTTTTAAAGTTTGGTATCACTTTTTTCACTTTGGTATTCAACAAGTCTTGTAAATGAAAGGTTTGTTGTAAATAGGATAGCAAAAAGAAAGAAAAAGAAAATAAGATGTAAGAGAAATTCTTTACTAATTCTTAGGTCACACTGTTCATGAAATGTATAGAAGCATACTCTCTTTGAATATATACTTCTTGAGATTTTTTTTGTATTACATTTACTACTACTAAGTTTAAAATGGTACTTTATAAACAGTAAATCATTGATTTTCACTGGATATTTTTCACTTATTGCTGATATTTATGCACTCAGTCATTTTTTCATTCATTGAAGTAATCTACAAAGTAGTTGGAACTTGTATGTACCTTTTAATGACAGCGACTGCCTCGACAGAACCTTATGGTTTTATTTGCAGTTTCCCCAATTCATTTCTATTGCTGATTAACATTGTATAATTCCAGTATATTTGTAGACATGTTTCCATTTTGTGTGTGTTCTTTGTTTCTATTTTGTAAATAATCTGTATCTTATGTTTTTTGTATGGATTTAAATTGAAATAAAACATGAAACTGTCTATTTTAGGCAATTTGAACAAGGGAGCTCTTCTATTGTGTATTTGCGTTTAATTGACTCATATTTGGTTTTGTGTCGTACAGTTTTGAAACAAATGTCATACATTAAAGGGGATGTTATGGCATTTAAATATGATTATTTTGCGGCTGGGTTTTAATTTGTAGGAGTTGAATTGAATTGAAAGTTTTATTATCTCTGCGTCGCAGCCAGTTACTGAATTGAGAAAATTAAATTGGAAAAGATGTACAATTAACAATTTTGAAAATGGCAAACGTTCTTAAATTGATGAAGAACGTTTATTAATGCATATATTTAACGTAACACTTTCAATATTTATTCTATACGAAAAATTAATACCCACATTGAATATAAACTGAATTTGTTTGTCTAAAACGGAGAAATAGCTTCCAAATGAAAATAATTTAAAAATCAAGTTGATGACCCCTTAAAATTCATGAAATAAAAAATGTATAATAATGTGATAGTAATGTGTTTGGTGAAATTAATACAATTTGGCAGAAATGATAGTGATTTACAGAATTCCCTCCTGCAACTACGAAATAAAGATAATCAAACAACTTCTTGGAGACTAGGTAGATGTTAACTAATAGATTAGTGTGTTTAATGATAGGTTAATTGGTAATCTGTTGATTGGTTAAATGGTTAGATGATTTATTATGCGGTAGGGTGAATGTATATTTTATTGTTTGGTTGATTGGTTGACTTGTTGATCGGTTAAATGGTTAGCTGATTTATTATGTGGTATAGGCTGATTGTATATTTGATTGATTGATTGGTTGACCTATTGATTGGTTAAATGGTAAGCTTATTTATTATGTTGTAGGGTGAATGGATTTTTGATTGTTTAATTGAATGGTTGACTTGTTGATTGGGTAAATGGCTAGCTGATTTATTATGTGTAAGGATGAATGTATATTTGATTGTTTGATCGAATGGTTGATTTGTTGACTGGTTAAATGGTTAGCTGATTTATTATGTGGTAGGGCGAATGGATATTTGATTGAATGGTTGACTTGTTGATTTGTTTAAAATGTTAGCTGATTCATTATGAGGTAGGGTGAAGGTATATTTGATTGAATGGTTGACTTGTTGGTTGGTTAAATAGTTAGCTGATTTATTATGTGGTAGGTGAGTGATTGAATGATGGATCAAATAGTTATACTATCGCTTGAAAATATAATTATTAGAATAGTGAGCAATTATTGACGGATTGATGAAATGCCTGATTTAGTGTGTGGATGAATTTCCACCTTCCCGAATGCCCCTCTTTCTCGTTTAGAGCCCGTCTATTGCCTATCCTTTCACGCTATTATATTCCTCTATGCATTTCTTTCTTTCCCTCATCTTTCTTTAACTCATTTTCTCTCCCTTCCCCTTCATTCTCCACTCCGCACCTCTCTCTCTCTCTCTCTCTTTTCCACACCCTCACTTTCCCCTCTCTACTTCCTACCTCCCTCTTCTTTCACTACCCCTCACTCATTCAGCTCATGCCTATATGTAAAACTCTTCTCTATCTCTCTCTCTCTCTCTCCTGGTCTCATCCTATTTCTTTCCCTCCCTCCAATCTCCTTCACATTTCTCTCTTCTTTAACCAATCTCCCCTTCTCTCGCAATGTCACTTTATATTATAAACACCTCCCTCACTCGTTCAACTTATGTCCATTTTAAATACTCTTCTCTCTCTCTGTCCGTCTCTCTCTCTCTATCTCTCTCTCCTGTTCTCATACCTTCTCTTTCCCTCCCTCCAATCTCCTCTCTCCTTCCTACCTCTCTCTTCATTCACCACTCTCCCCTTCTCTCGCAATGAAACCCGTGTCACTTTATATTATAAACACCTCCCTCTCTCGTTCAACTCATGTTTATTTTAATACAGTCGCCAGTTTGAAACCAGTGACAACAACTAAAGCAAAATCCTTTCACAGACACTGACATAGTGACATGGTTCTGATAAATTTATTTTTTATAAATAGTACTCTTAACAAAATATCATAAATACATTTGTGCATCATAATGATTGTCGATAAATACAAAAATCAAACAAATAGTCGTTGAATTGATTGTCTTGTAGTAGACTTACATCACGAGCGCAGACGTTTGAAAATAACGGGGATGGCCGGGGGCGCAACCGACCCGTACCCTGTTGAAAAGCGTTAGTGGCATATAACAAATATATAAATATAATACAAAAGTTTAAGAATACCCCCACCCCCTTTTTTTGAAGTGAGGGCAATTTTTTTCAACAGCGTTGTCCATAATTACGTAATCAGAACATGATTTCATGGGAAATAATTATATGCATGTACCAAAGGTATTGACTTTTCTTATGTATTTGCGCTCGCGTTGAAAGGAAATAATACACTATAGCACGTAAACAGGCCAGATAATCACTATAAAAACAGCCAAAATTTTCCGGGACATTTTGAAGTACATCTCAAGTTATCTAAAGATTTGGTTACGACGGAGAATGAGTTATCATAGAATCCAACACAATTTATAATGATTGTTCGAGAATGAGAATGTACCCACAAAACGATTTAGTTATTAATATCTGAGTATTAAAAGAGAAAAGGAGGATACGAAAAAAAAAAGATAATAAGAAATAAATGAAGAGAGAATGAAATAACAATAAAAAGAAGAAGGGGTAGGAGCGGGACAGGGAGACAGGGGGAGGGGGGGGGAGAAGAAAAGAAGACTTTAACAAATACTAGTCTCGACCATCTTGAATTACACATATATATATATATACATGTATTACCTTACTGATTGTTATCAAACATCTTATGATTGTCACGTTTTCCAATATATATTAAAAGCAATGTTTACTGATAGCCGCCTGAGTGATAAAACAATATTTGAAGTAATGATGATTGTCAATTATAGCAGTTTCAAAGTGCAGGAGTGGATCAACTTTATACATAAAGATACGGCTTGCGTACATGACTGCGTAGAAATATTTGATGGTCATGTTAGTTTATATTGCACGATACAATAAACCGTTTGTCGAGAGCTAGACGGGCATTAAAAGGATAGTTGAGTTTTGTTGCAGAGGGCGCTAAACATAATTTTTTTGTGTGAGATAACGAAAAAATGAGTGTCAAACTTTTAAAAGCATACAATGACAAAATCGTCTTTGTTTGATCAAAATCGGTATAGAGGCGGCTGAAATATCAATAAATATAAGAATAACTCATATTTGTGGGGCACCACAAATATTCGGTAATTTTGAACAAGCCGTTGAAAAAACGAGGTAGCGCCTTATACGTTTTATTCCAGCCAATGCCAATGTTGACTTTTTGTTGGCTATCATTTTCATGTTGGCTATAATACGCACAACCAGCCGGCCACTGAATTGTTTTTATCAATTAAATAATTAAATGACGGTCACCGTATTTTTTTTTAAAGTGGAGCTGAGTTGGTATGATCGTATTTAATCTAAATTTTTACACATTTTGGGGTCTAAAATTACCTTCATAGCAATTTTAGGTCTTAAAAGGGAACTAGAAATGTCATGAATAAGAATAAGAGCAATAACCATGCACTTTGAAGGCATTTGCGGTCCTAAACAAGAACTCAAATTTCTCTTTAACTGTTTACAGCACATTATTATTAGTTAAAGCCCTAAAGGCTCCCAGCAGACGAACCATAATATATTCTTTACAAAATATACAATAGTACATTCAGAATATTTAGAACACACTTATAATAAGTACACAAATTATAGGATCATAGTACTGTTTTGCACTTGTACCTTTTCTGCGAATTTTCATAAAGTTAACGATTTTATTTTTCAAATTATAATAAACTGAACTCATTTGCCGACGAAGTAGCACATCCACTTTTCAATTTGTGATTGTCTGATTTTAAAGTTGTTAGTGTATAACCCCACCTTCTGTGTGTTTTATCGATAGTTCATCATTAAAACTGACATAATTTCATTGTTTTCTTTTGACATAGAACAACTGCATGAAAAGGATAGGCGCACTATTAGAAAGAAATGTCTTAGTGTTTTTGTTTGCAATGATCCGAATGCTCAACTACATTTTTCATTCTGGTTTTCAAAACATCCCGAAATTTAGGCGGATACGACGGCAAGCTTTTGAATAACGGTTCGTCGGATTCCACTGCAGATATCAATAGTTCCCAGAAGTTTGCGTTTTCACTGAGCGTTTTTAATCTTTGCACCGTTTGGGTCCTGAACAAACACAATGATTTTAAAATCTGATCATGATAATGCCCGTATTGGTTTAACATCCGGTACCCGTGTCGCAAACCGGATTCGTTGTCCAGAAACCATAACCGTCTATCCGTTCTTGAGACTTCCAAGTTGTGAACCGGTTGCTTGAGCATGTACCGGTTCCACTGGAGGTTAACCAAGGAGTTGACTATCCGATCCAAATTCGCGGTTACATAGTCAAAGATGGCAAGATCGGACCACTGAATAAGTTCGACCAAATGATTATGATTTTTCATTAAATGCATGAGATCGGACTTATCAATAGTTTCTTGGCGTAGTGTTTCGTTCATACCCTTTAGTTCAGTGGGTATGAACGCGGGTTCTAAGTCGGGTATCCATTTTGTCGCGACGATTATTCGGCCTTGTTCCCAGCCAGCCGATGTGATGTTTTCTTTGACCGCCTCCCATTGCTCAATATCCGGTTCGATTCTCATCAAAACACCAAGCGGTAGATTTTCAATCCCAATTAACCGCGATAAATGGAAGGATAAGATTTCCCCTTGGATTTGATCGACGTTTTGTCGGTAACGGCAGCATAACCTCTCGCCATTTTCGAGGACAGCGAGGCGGTTGCTATCACGACCACAGCCCGGTAACAACCGCACAACGCGGTGAGATCGAATGTCGTTCCGCCACGCCCTGATGATCGCTTCTGACGTCCGGTTGGGAAGCAACTTCTCGGCGCTTTCGCTCCAGAAGATCCCATCCCGAAAAAGTTTGTAGTCGCCATTTAACTGATCACTCTCACCAGAATCATGTCTCATCTCTTTTGAAGATTTGTTTCCACGGTTACTAAGCACTTTCTCTGAATATGGATCATTTAAGATGTAATTACTTCGTGGTTGAGCGCGGTTATCTTTTGCCATGCGCCATGAAGGATCACCATGATCACTAAATCTCGCCGTGCCCGATTTCAAAGCATTCATCTTTCCCACTAATCCAATTGACGCTGGCCGAGCATCCCCTCTTCTCGTGTTAGTGTCTCCGACCCCACGTTCGAGTTTCCTTCGTGTTTTATTTACTTTTGATCGAGTAGGCTGACAATTATTCTTGAAACCCGAGGCACAAGAAATCGAAGTTGAAGAATCTCCTGCGTACTTCGCTTGGTTTCCGATGACTGCTCTGCCTCGATTTGATGGAGCATCGCCCCTCGATTGAATGCCAGTTGCGGGATCGCGTTCCCTCCTTGTTTGTGAGTACTCCCCTTCCGTGCGGTGATCGGTGCGAAATTCGCTTCCCGCCTTTTCTTCACGCGCGCTGTCGTCTGCACCAGCGTGAAGACGTAATCGTACATCTGACGGTGACCTCTCTTTCTTATCTCTCCCTCTCATCCCCACCTTGTCTTCTTCCGTTGCTCTTAATCGCCTTGGATTCGATTTCGGGATCAATTTATCTGCATCCATTTGAAAGTCTTCCATCGATAGATCTTCAGATTGGGGCGACATTTGGTTCTCTCCATTAGGGGCGACACTGAGCTGTAGTAGAGTGTAGAAAATAACGGCGTACATGGCCATACCGGCAAACCGTAGATCCGCCATTTTCAAGAACGTTCACGCAATAAAATTGGCAAATTTATCTTCAGATTACCATATTCAAATCATATTACTTCCTTGTGAGTGTCGTTGCGGCATTAGCTTTTCGTTTTTGCAGCAAAAATGCAATTCAATGAATGAACACGTTCATAAGACGTCCAGTTTGATGAGTCTACTCAGCTTAGAGGGGAAAAGAGTACAGTAGTTTTCAAATTAAGAAAACAAGTTCCAATGGATTTCCTACTTTCTATTTTTATGTAATCCGTATGGATTCGGAGTGAATTAATCGCAAAATCCAACATAGGCCTCTAGTCTGTTCTAGCCGCAACTCCCGGGGTGAACGTTGATGAATAGACTGCTCGGAGACCCTAGGCTCCAGTGCGGTCGAGTCGAACGAAACGTGAGCCGAAATCCTGCGAAATTTCGCGCCTCATTTTCTTGATTGACACCGCGAGTGCTCCCCTGGGAAACCCCTCCGAGATTCGGCCTGTTGGATAATACAAATAAAAGAAGGTAAAAAGATGAGAACAAGAGAAATATTGTTGCGTTTTCAGAGAGTACAACAAATATTAGCCTTTTGGCTACGTGTAAAGCTTGAACAACAGTCGTCATACTCGGGCAGTAAACTTCGTACCCTTTAAATCTCTCCTGGGAAACGTTAAACGCGTCCGTGCGTGCGTTGATAAAGAGACTTGACGATTAAAATGTTCATATTCAGAAGAACACAAATTGAAATGGCGTTACGCGATGGACAAGCTTTACTTTAACAAAACAAAACAATAAAAAGAAAGGAGTTACAAGTCCGTGAATGGGATGAGTTTGGTAGGGCAATTTCAATACGAAGTGAAATATGACAAAAATAAGGCAAAATTTTGGATAAAGTTTGTAATGCCTTTCATAAAAAAAACTATCTGAGACTTAGGATCATAATAAAATTGAAGTAATAAAATGCAAATCAGACTCCTAATCCACGGTTGCATCAAAAGGGTAGGGTCAGTGGTTTCTTTTGATTTGTGATTTGGAAAAAAATTGTGTCTCCATTTTTATTGCAATGATTATTTTCAACAACTTATTTAGTTTATTTTTATTATTTTCTGCACAACGGTTTCGACTGGCCCTACAGTATTCTTTCACAAATATTATAAATGAAAAAAAGAACTCGAAATTGAACGAACGAAAATGCAGTGACTTAACTTTAATGACTGAAAGAATTTTGAAAAGCGGATTACGATACACGTCATTATGGTCATTGTGGAGCATGTCTTTGATTGTTTTTCTCAAACAAACGATTTGTAGATTTTATAGACTATTCTAAGATGTACATTTTCTTATAAAAAGTAATTAGCATTTCAGATATCACAAAGCAGTAACAGAATTATTCGACAAATTTATGAAAATATGTTCTCCTCGTTTTAATAAATAGAAGAAAAACAAATTGTGATATCAACAGGCGCAATTACTGATTTCGTACTTCACAATTATTCTCTGCACAAAATGACAACAAATTGAAATAGGCTTTACACAATCCCAAAATATGATTTAACAGTATATACCTATTCCAATTTGTTACTCTGCAAAATACCAAATCAGTAATTTCGCCTGCCGATAACAACATTTCCGGCTACGCTTCTTTCAGATCCAAACAAAAAATAAATCATTCTCATATAAATTATCTATCACATAGATGCAAAACATAACAGTGTATAACAATGTAAATAGTGATGGAGCTTATATCAACGAGAGATTTTGATTTTTCACACAATGATTTCGTGATATTTGAAATGATGTTCTATTCATGAAAGGCATGCTTTTAAATAACCAATATTGTGCTATCGTTTCAATATAAATAAAACTGGATCTGGATGAAAAGAGTATATACACAAGACCCCTCTGCTGTATTGTTCTATTGTAAATATGACGATCATGACTTTTGGTGAACTAAAATAAAGTATACATTACATTTCAATACAGAGTAACAGCTTTATCATGAATCGACTCATCACGTACTATAACTGAGCCGAAAAATGAAACATGATTGTAGGTCATACTCTGAAGCAGGTGCATATGGAGCTATAAGACAGAATAAATATGCAGGAAAGTCACATTGACAAGAGTTGTGGCGACATTATACAGGAGGGGCTGAAAACCAACGAGGTACAACAAGAGACATTCCTCTTCAGGGTAAAAAGCATTAGTATCATTTAACATAATGTATTTTTAGAATATTATGGAAGTCTTTACTGTCTACTAGCAGGAGAACAGGACACAAATGATGACAAGAATTAGTCAATAATTAGTATTAAAAAAAAAGATTAGGTAATTATTATTGTTTGATAGCTTTTACCAAAACAGCTTAACGTTTTATTTTGCGAATAGAGACGCTATATAGGAACCTTGCACATTATGTTGATGTATTTATTGTACGTTAACCATCAAAAGGTATTGCATGTTGAATCTAAATTATCTGATACAGACTAAATCTCGCGAGAATGACGTGAATCGATTTAACAATTGATCTTATCTGAACACATAATAATTTAAAATACTCCAAATCATTCTGAAATCGAACATAAAATGCTTTCAGAAGCCAAGTGATTCATCATTTACGTAGCTATTTGTGAACAATTCAAATTAATTCAGCTCTAATAATTATCTGAAAACAGCTCTAACAATACAGCAAGAATTATCTGAAAACATATAAAACAAATCGTTAACCATACTCTTTCTGAAATCGAACATAAAGTGCTTTCAAACTGAAATGTTGATCATTTCCATGGCTTTGCGCAAAAAAATCAAATGAATTCAGCTCTAACAATTCGGCTCTAATAATTATCTGAAAACAGCTCTAATAATTCAGCAATAATTATCTGAAAGCATGAAAAACAAATCGTTAAAAAATACTCTGAACCATTCTAAAATCGAACATAAAATGCTTTCAGAACCCAAGACAGTGTTTATCACTCACGTGGCTATACGCAAGAAATTCAAATTCATGCAGCTCTAATAATTTATCAATAATTATCTGAAAACATATAAAACAAATCGTTAACAATACTCTTTCTGAAATGGAACATAAAGTGCTTTCAAAACCCAAGTGTTTCATCATTTACGTGGCTTTACGCGAAAAATTCAAATGAATTCATCTCTAACAATTAGATCGTATGATACCGGGGCATTAAACAATAAACATGATCGTTAAAATACTCATAAAATATTCTCAAAACCAACATAAAATGCTTTCAGAACGCAAGACAGTGTTTATGACTTACGTGGCCAAACGCGATTTTTTAAAAATGAATTCACCAGCTCTAATAATTGGATTGTATGATACCGGAGCATTAAACGATAAATTTGATCGTAAAATACTCATGAAACATTCTCGAAACGAACATAAAATGCTTTCAGAAGCCAAGTTTTGCATCATTAATGGCTATACGCGAACAATTCAAATGAATTCAGCTCTAATAATTGGATTGTATGATACCGGAGCATTAAACAATAAATATGATCGTTAAAATACTCATGAAACATTCTCGAAACGATCACAAAATGCTTTCAGAAGCCAAGTTTTTCATCATTTACGTGGCTTTACGCGAAACATTCAAATTCATTCAGCTCTAATAATTGGATTGTATGATACCGGAGCACTAAACATGATCGTTGAATACATAAACCATTCTGAAATCGAACATAAAATGCTTTCCAGAACCCAAGTGTTCATTATTAACATTCAAATGAATTCAGCTCTAATAATTATTGTTTGATACCGAAGCGTGCACTCGTTTTTTCTGAACTCCTCGTCACCGGGTTCGCTGGCCGGGGATGACTTCGTATACTCAATTCTCGGTCGATTTAGATGCAAATTGAGCGATGTTTCGACAAACCATGGAGTTTATGTATCATCCACTCGTATTACACAATCGGAGACGCAACCAAGACAAGCGTTCTCTATAATTATGACTTGAGGATTCTTCTTCGGTTTGAGCTCTTCATTGCTATGTTCATTATTCTACACGAGTTCTCAAACACGTTCGTTTCTTTAGATAGGGACGGGGGAAAGATGGATAGCTAGTTATATAGACTCACATGATAGATAGAGAGAAAGAGAAAAGGATGGGATAGAGAAAAGAGAGAAAGAGAGAAAGAAAGAGAGAGAGAGAGAGACAGAGAGAGAGAGAGAAAGAGAGAGAGAGAGAGAGAGAGAGAGAGAGATAGGGGGGGGGGGGAATCTTTATCAAATTTAAGATTTTCAATGTGTACCATGGCGAGTATATATAGGGCTCTTTTTTAGATTTGAAATGGGATAGTTTCAGAATCCATTCCCGCAATAGATTTCGATGCGAATTGAGCGATGTTGCGAAAAAAACGTGAGAGAGAGAGAGAGAGAGAGAGGGAAAGCGAAAGGGCGAGGGAGAGAGAGGGGGTGATTATACAATTTAAGACTTTACAATGAGTCACATGGCGAGGAGGGCCCCTTTTCTATTTTTGTATGCTGGTGATAGTTTCAGACTCCTTTCTCGTTTAAGATGCAAATTGAGCGATGTTATACGAAAAATCACAGACTTTTTGTATCACACACTAGTGTTACACACAACGAGATAAGCCTAACTTCACGCCTTTTCCCCCCTTTTTTCTCGATTTTACTGCAATTCATCCCTCCACAAACTAATCATGAAAATCATGAAAAAGGGAGGTATGTAAACTTTTTCTTAAAATTAACGAATGAGCGTTTATATCCGCACAAGGAAATAAAAGCAGAAGCCAAAGAATGTGTGACATTCTACATTATGTAACACATACATGTTGTTCACAGAAACCAGGAAGGTCGTGTCATAACACTGTACACTGTGTAAAAACTGACCGGGGAAATACTGATTGTGGAAATCAAATGCACCACGAAACTCATTCGAAACAAAATTATGCAATTCCCGAATATGAAGTGCTCATTGACGTCTTTAAAAGCAATCGTAATTTTGTCACAACCATGATGATAGACTAAAATGATCATTATTCTATCATCATTATTTCGAGATATTTAAAGATAAAGGTGAGTTCTGGTAATGCGATTGCATTGTGAAAGAAATGGTGTGGAATGGATCAGAAAAGTTGATCATATAGCATGTAAGTATTGGTGTGTAATGCACGGTTCTGGAATCTGGAGTCATCAAAATCATTATAAATTTGGCCCAGTCTTGGTAAGGTAACAATCACTGTACGCAGAAAGATGTATATGGGACAACACGAATGGTGTCGGGGCTAGTACTACCTTCATTTCCTTATCTTTATATGCTCATTACTCAGCCAGTATACATTTTCTTCCAAAATGTTATTGTTTCGCACATGACATTAATAATCTTGAACATTCAGTGTAAGTTTCGTTAGATTCTATGAGAATTCATTTTCATTTTTTACCAGAACTCAAGTTTATTTAATCAAAAGTTATCCCTTTTGACCTGGTGAAATAATTCAATATGAACGTACTGATTG